CATCTACATTCTGGATTCTCTGTTGGGCTTATAGCAGGTAGGGGTTTCGCAAGAGTTATATGGCTTTGTGAAGGTCCTTATAAGTTCGATTATGCCCGGAATACCAACTCTTCCGGGCCACAAGGGCTTTATTCAGGGTACCTAAAGGGGGCTCTTGGCACCCTCGTACCAGCGAGCCGAAGTTGGATCGTTGCCTTTGTGAAAGGGCCCTTGGTGAGATCCTCGTTTAAGGAGGGGAGGTGTAGATTTAGGGGTTTATTAGGCTTTAGGGTTTATGAGCCTGGTCGAGATTGCTGTGCTGGATGACTTCTTGGTGATCTTGCCCTCCTGGGAACTGCTTTAGGATGGGATGATGTTTCTGAGACAGTAATCACTTCAGAACTCCTCATCTTGGATTGGTTTCGGAATAGCGGCTGCAGGTAGTCCCACGGCTGACTTTGGCCCTAAGTGGCTGCTGGCTTGAAATTTGGTTTGGGGGTCTGACTCAGAGTTGCAGAGGGTGTGTGAGGTTCAGGATCGGGGCAAGGGGTTGAGGGCCTGAGGTTTAGGCCGACGGATGTGACGACATATTGCTTCTACTCCCGGCCTTTCTTGTTGAGTCAGCCGGCTTCAACCGACCCTCGCGGTGTCATGTCCGAGTTGCATCGCTCGTCTGGCTGCGGAGGAGTTGGCAGAGCTTGTCCAACCCCCGCAGGCCAGCTGATGAGGACCTACATCGAGCGCACGTAGGATCCCTATTTTAAGGATCCCAAAATACGGTACCTTTAATTTTCGGAAACTCGCATATGAACGCCTGTCCTGTGAATCTCTTGGAAAATACGTAGGCCGATTGAAGCTCTTTGAAAGGGAAGCCGGTGATCCTTGCCGAGGTCTCGTTTTGCGGAATCTACCGCCCGAAGCCCAGGGAGGGGTATGAAGACTTCGGAGGTGCAAGGTGTTTGTAGTTGCTGCAGGGTCAGAACTTACTATTTTGAGAGTTTGGGGCGACGTTGCAGGGTCGAGGGTGTTCAGTTCAGGGCGTTGGGTTTGGGCAGGTTTTGGCTTTGGGGGGTGTCGGGCGTCGTGTAAGGGGGTTAGGTTCGTTGCAATGCCTGTTTTGGGGTTATCTTCGACTGGCCCGGCATTGCTGCAATCCTTGACTGGCTTAGGCTTGGGGTGTAGGGTTCTATTTGGATAGCGTGTTGGGTTTACGGTGTTTGCTTTGGGTTTGGGGATTCGGGTGCCTGAGTGTCAAGGGTTGCCTTGTGTCCACAAAATTCGAATCAAAGCTCCATGGTAGAGCTGGTAGAGCTGTCAATGGAGTGCCACCGGAACTCCGCTCCAGGGGGTCACGGACACCAGACTATTCAAGCCAAAAGAGTTGGTCGAGGGGGGGGGGGGGGCGGGCTATTAAACGGGCCCAAACATTTAGCGTGCCACGGCTGAAGGTGCACGGGCTTTCTGAGAGCATAATGTGGACCACTCAGCTTTCAGCCCCGCAGCCCCAAACATTACAAAGTCAGAGACGATGATCCCTTCAAGTTGCGGGGTACAACCCTTAAGGACAAAATAGTAGCTACTTCCACCGGTAAGCCGTGACTGCCGTGAAAGGCTCGTGTCCATTTTGCCGCTGATGTTGCGGCAGACGAAATGACCACAGAAGAGCGCGAAAGGTCGGGCAGACAGAACATGCAGGTTTAGCAGGTGTTTGCGTCTTCGGAGGCCTAAACCCTGATCCTTGGTGTTTGGCTGTACAGCTTGGGGTTTGCGGCTTGATTTTCGGGTTTTTTCTAACGTGTCGGGCCCTAAACCCTAAACACCCAAAACCCCTAACGGCCCTAAACCCTAAACCCCTAAACCCCTAACGATTCAGGCCAGCTTCAGGCAAGGAAGGAGCTTGGCCGGGTAGAGTTCGAAGGCGGAGCTTCTACGCTTTTGGAAGGTCCTGCAAGCAAACACACGGAAACCACGCTGGATCCAAATCTATATTGATATGAGTGTGTATGCGTGTATGTGTATATATATATACACACATGTCACATGTATATATGATGTCGGGTTCCGGGGTGGTGGTATGCGGAGTTTAACTTGATCCCAACCTTCAATCCTAAAACCTAAGCCTGCGGAGTACCGTCGAGGCAGTGGCCTTAAAGAGCATATACGGCTGTCCGGCCTTTCCGGATCTCTGATGCTAAAAAGTAGAGACTGTATGTTTCTGTGATCACTTGGGACCTTTACAGTATCAGGCTTCAGACCTAACAGAGTAATACCGTATCAGAGGGCCTAGCGCCCTTAAAGCAAGAGGTTTTTGGATCCCCATTGTGTAGGCAGGGCTTTGGGGCTTGGGGGAACGTTCTGGGGGTATCCTCGCAAGGGGCCTCAACAGGTCAAGGTTTGGGATCGACTGTTTAGGTTTACCCTAAACCCTAAACTCTTCAGGGTCTTCGGGTTGTGGGGGTTGGGAGGTGAGGGGCTTCATGGGTAGTCTTAGAGGGTTCTGAGGTTTACTTCAGTTACAATAATAGTAGATGTAAAGGTAGTGTGGATCCACATGGCCCTAAACCCCTAAACCATCCTAAACCCCAGGATTTGTGGGTTGGGGTTCCCTCTCTCCAGCTTGAGGCCCGAGCTAAACCGCCGAGCTCCCTAAGTCTTGGCCAGTCTTAGCCTAACCCTAAGGTCTTTAAGCCTTGCAGTCCCTAAACCCTAAGACCCCAAGCCAAAGTCCCTAAACCCTTACGAAGCCCCTAAACCCTAGTAGCACCTAAACCTTAAAATCTCTTGAGCCCTCAGCGGTCAGCGGAGACGAACCTCTAAACCCCGAAACCCCTGCACCTTAAGCCCGAAATGTAAAACCCTACACCAGGCCCTTCCTTAAAAACCCAAAAGAAGACAAAATAATAGCCCTAAACCCATGAAAGGCTACTAGTTACTCTGCATACTTTTAGGGTCCGGGTAAGCCCTAAACCCTAACCCTCGAAGCTCGCATTCTGCCAGGGATCGCCGCTTGCGCGCAGCGGGCTGGGCAGCGCTCTGAGCTCCGGGGGTTCTGGGGGGCTTCGTCTTCGGGGGTGGGGAGGGGGGTTTCAGGGTTTAGGGGTTCAGGCTTAGCGGCTTGGGTCTGGGAGTTTAGGGCCTGCTGTTTTGGAGTTTAGGGCTTTCGGGGTTTGGGGCCTTAGGCCCGATTAGGCTCACCTTTGGCTCCGATAAAACCTGTGAGTTTATGGTGGCATCAGAAAGACATGTGTACTCAGGGGTCTCACCCGACTACGGATTTATTGTGCAGGGGGTTGTAAGTTTGGGGAGTTTGGCTTTACAGGAGTTTTGGTTTCGTTCCCGAGATACACAATTCACCACGCCTCTACACCCAAGCTAGGCCCTGTCCTCAAACGCCAAAACACCAGACGTAACCCATCTCCCCTCCACAAGAGGACCTTCCACCGGCAGATCCTTACAGATGATGGCGACCTTACACCCTAAACCCTAAACACCCTAAACCCCAAACCCCTAAGACCGAAACCCCCAAACCCTGAAGCCCTAAACCCCTAAAGCCCAAGAACCATAAACCCTCTGGAACCCACCTTAAATCCCAAAGTCTGACAAGCCGTAGTCTCTGAACTCCCTTAGCTGCTGAAAGCTAACCTACCTCGAATGACCAGCGCCTAACTTTTTGCGTAGCTCCTTACCATAGACCCAAAATAGAACTCTTCAGGAAGGGGACGCTTCAAAAACTGGATTCGGGAATTGTCGTGTAATCTGCAGGTAGTCTAGAAGCTGACAGTTGCCGGGAATATTCCTTAGGGTGTCCTTAGTATACCAGAAGTAAAATATGCCCCCAAAAGCCGCATTCCAACCATTAAGGACCCCGTAAACACTCCTATAAACCCTAAGTCGCTGTTCTGAGCAGGCACGCGTCTGCCAGAACATCGGTGTGATGCCTTCGGAGTCCAAGGCGCAAACGGCGCGCGAGTCGGCGGCGGATCCCAAAAAAGCAATGCTGGAGGATGGAAGTTGAGGGCTTTAGGCGGTTTACGGTGCAGTTCTTCTAGGACGTAGGTTAAGGGGGGTTGGGGTTGGAGAGCGGTGTAGCTCCAAGCCTCGACCTTTGACTTAAGTCCCAAGACTCGTGTGGCGCTAGTGATTTAAGGATAGGTTTCGAGTGTGGGTGGTTCAGGGTTGACGCTTTTAGGAGGCTAGGGGATTGGGCATAGATCTTACCTCAGCAGCTCAGCCTATGTAGTGTAGAAGGACTTTCGGAATGAATCTTGTTCTTCGTTTAATGGTTTGGGGCCTACCCATAGGCTCCATAGTACACAGCTCCTTTACGGGGTTAAATTTTCGAATCCTATAGGGTAAGCCCAACAAGGAACTACTATGGAGCCTATGGGTAGGTGTGAGGCTCGTTGGACAAGCGTCAGGCGGACCCGAACCTACGATCGGATCAATTGTAAGTTACGGATGGATAAGGGTTCGGAGTAACTGTGGAAGGTACTTCTCCCCCAGTTACTGGGTGCTTCTATCAAGCCATGCTTCATGTTCTCTGCCAGTTATTACGGAGAGCTATGAATGTGATCTGAACCCAGGCGCCACAATCCAAGGGTAAAAGGAGGGACCCTTAACAAGGACCCTTAGGTATATACCCTTAATATAGCCATTATATACCCATTATATAGCCCACTAGAGGGTAGGGGTCCGCATTAAGGGTCCCTCCTTTTCCCCCTCCTTTTCCCCTTTGACACAGGCAAACTGCAGTTTCTATTCTGTGTAGAGTTACAGCTTAAGGCTGACACAGCCTCGAGTGTTTGGCTCATGTGGCGCTGACGCAAAGTTGTGATGACCACTCTACACTCCAAAGCCTGCACCTGAACACGCTAGGGTACGACCTTTGGGACGTATCTTCACCCTGAATACAAGCGGTCTCGATGCCTCAATCAAATCTTTGCAAGAAGTGCCCCCAGTTGAGCAGAAGAGGTTTAGGACCATTGCTTTAGAGCCGCAAAGCATCGCCTGCTGCGCAAGTCATGGCGATTGCGGCTTCTAGGCTATGTTGTCTTCCTCTAAGTATGTTCTGTATGGGAGCTACTCCACATTAAATTTCACCCAAGGTACCTCCTTCAAGGTTAGCTTAATGACGCGAAAAGTCCCTCGAAGCGATCAGGATCTATTGGGGACATGCCGGTCAACTGCGCATCCTGGGTTGGTTTGGTTTAAGGTTAAGGCTTATAATTAAGGTTAGGTTAAGGCCAACGCAAGCCTGAACCCTTCACCTTAACAGCCAGGCCTAATCCGCTGAGAAGTGTTTCTACCCAGAGCTTGTTGTTGGGGCATGCTTTGCCGATTGATGATGGGCCGAACCCACTGAGCTCAGAGTGTAGGGTTTCTGGGTTGCTGTCAGGCTAATTTCCCAAAATGAAAACATGTAACTATGCACAAGTCTATGTGTACAGTATGTATGTACGTATGTATGTATGTACACCCATATACATATATATATATATATGTATATATGTATATGTGTGTGTATATACATACGTATATATGTATGAGTGGGTATGCACGTGCATGTGTGCGCAGTATTCGTATGTATATACGTGTATACATATGTGTGTACATATATATATATATATATATATATACATAGTTAGATAGATAGGTATATACGCACATGGATATGTATGTGTATATATATACATATATATGTACATACATGTATATACCTATATATATATATATACATATGCGTGTACGTATTTGTGTGTATGTGTGTATATATATATATATACACATATATATATATATATATATATATACATATACATATACTTGTGCATATCACATATATGTTGCATATGTTATGTATGCATGTCTGCCTATTTGTCTGTCTGTCTGTCTGTCTGTCTGTCTGTCTGTCTGTCTGTCTGTCTGTCTGTCTGTCTGTCTGTCTGTCTGTCTGTCTGTCTGACTCTATGTATGTATGCAGGTAGGTGTATGTGTATGTGTATATATATATATATATGTGTGTGTGTATACAAGTGTTTATAAGAACATGACATCACATGCTTTCTTGAGCATGGTAATTCGTTGACAAACCCACTAGCTCAAGATTTTAGGGTGTTGGGTTTAGGGTTTACAGTAGAGGTTTTTGGTTTAGCCCACTAGCTCCAAGGTTCCTTGTTATATTTGTAGCATACTGGACCCCCAAACCCTATTCTAAGTATTATTATTGCCCCTAGATTAGCTCAAGATCTCAGGGTGGTGGGTTTAGGGTTGAAGGTTTAGAGGTTTAGTTTAGTGTCTAGCTCAAGATCTCAGGGTGGTGGGTTTAGGGTTGAAGGTTTAGAGGTTCAGTTTAGTGTTTAGCTCAAGATCTCAGGGTGTCGTGTTCCTCGCTTTGGCGGGCGTCGGTGGCTTCTTGTCGGCGACGGGGGCCAACATCCTCGCCTGGTCGAGCCTGGGTTTGGGGTTTAGGGTTGAGAAGTTTGATTTAAAGGTTTAGGAGCTTTAGGCTTTAGGGCTTAGGGGCTTTAGGGTTTAGGGGCTTTTGGGTTTAGGGTTTAGGACCGGTTTAGGGTTTAGGCTTAGGGAGTCTTGATTTGAGCTAGTATGCGGGGTTTTAATTGCGTTTCGGGGTTTCAGCGGGTCGTATAGGGATCGCAGGAATCTCTTCTGAGTCACGGGTGACATGTGTTAACCTCATGTGTCTATCACGCGAACTACAGATGAGCTTCTGGTTTCTGAACAAAAAGCCCAGGAGTTTCAGCACGCGAACGCTGGGGAAGCAATGGACCAAGCTTCAGTCAACCGGATTTGTTGTCGCATCTTGGCTGGTGGAGAAAACTTGGGTGTTTACATTTAGGGTTGAGGGCTCCGTGGCTGTTGGGGGGATGGGTTCTAGCTAACGGTGTTAAGATCTTCGACTTGGCGTTGCAGGGAAGCCAGACAGCGCTCAAAATAGGCACATGTCCTATTTCGTGGGGTGCTTATGCCGGTGCATCACGCATCGACTGAAGTTCAGCTGGGCCGATTTCGAGCAAGTTGCTGCAGATGCTTCAGACTTGCGAGGTGATACGGACCCCGCAGAATAATGTTAACCCCAGACGCTCAGGCATGCATCGTCCTCAACGCGTCTGGCATCCTCCTCTTCGCCATGTCTACGGCTCTGGGAGGCTCTTGTCTTAAGAGTTCAGGCTCTAGGCTTTGGGGTAGGGCTATTGAAGGAGCTTAGGTTCCCTTATGCTCAGCCTTGCGGCCTATTGGTTCAAGCTTTTGGGTTTGGGGTTATAAGAGAGTCGAGGTGTAGGGTTTAGGAGTTTAGGGGCTCTGAGACTCCGAACAGAATCTACTGTGGAGCTCTTATGCGGAGACTCTGCTTCTTGACTTGTGTTTGGACCTAGACACTCAGCAAGTAATATAGGGGTGTGCATATTAGTACTAGAGCCGCTTGACAGTCGGGTTTTTTCGAAGTAGGATGCCAATTCCGATCTGGTAATTAAGTGTGTAGACGGCTCCGTTACGAGTATTGGCGCCTGTACATCCTGGGTTCCAATAAACCCGGCTCGAGGGGAACTGGTAAATCAAACCCTACTTCCCGCACTAGTCCCCAAAAGAAAAGTGTGAGGCACACTTATCTGTCACTAAGGCGAAACTTTCAGCAGAATCATGAGATCAGCGCTTTCCGGTTCCGGACTCCGGTAGACGCTCCACATCCTGCCCTTCAAGCGAAAGTAGAGTAGAATGGGCAGACCCGCGCTTTGCCTGGGCCGGCATGGTTGCAACGGCTCATGTGAAGGTTTAGGGTTTAGGTGCCTGTATCATGGCCTATGGTACCAAGCCCTAAACCCTGAACCCTGAAGTTGATCACCCGGACGAGTCCTTGTGAACTTGGGACGGAGCTGCACTGGATGCAAACTCAAACTTAACGTCCGTTTTCCAAAGTTCGACGCTAAGGTGATAGCCTCACGGTGAAGGCCGTTAAGCTTGCGGACTTCCGGGTTCAGAGCTGGTTTATTGTCTATGTGATGGGGGTTCTCAGGATTCTAGAAGCCTAAGGCCCGTGTCTCTTGAGCTCTCCAGCCCAAATTGTGCCCAATCGTCCTTTCAAACTTCAAACACCCCATGCCCCATATCCTATTGCTATATCCTTCATGTAACCCTGAATCGCCAGCTGACGTCTCCTCAGGCGCTGTGGCCACCGTCATGCCCATCCAGACTGGGGCCAACCTTCTGGGCCCCTCTGACCGAGGATGATGAGGTTCAGGGGTTCCAGGACTACCCTTTATAGGGCTCCAATATTTCCCATTAAGAGGTACTTGGAGGCTACAATCAAGGGTAGTTGGGGGGTCTAGGTTTACCGTTGAGTTTTGGGATTTTGGGTTCCGGGGTTTAGGGTTTAGGCGTTTTCGGCCAGGAGGGTTTTCGGGGCTCAGGATAAGACTCTCGCCAGATCAGGCCCCAAAACCCAGAGAACCAAAGACCTAACACACGGGGCCCCTAATAATCGGAAGAGGGCTTGGGCGTAAAGCATAAAGGGATATTAACACTGTGTTCAGACCTGTTGTTCACTTCCAAACCTATGTTGCATTCGGTCGGGTTGAAAGCGAGGGTTATACGTTTAGAAAGGGGTTAAGTGTTATAGACCTTGAAAACGGTAAAAGATCCTTTGAATCCAAAGCCCTGTCGCAGGGGTGTTGTTGTGGATGTATGGCTCAAGCTGATGGCCGCGGGCTGCAGGTTGAGATTCTGGTTGGAGTTACTTAGGGTGGTTGGGGTAAGCTTCAGGTTCTTCGAGGTTTAGGGCTTGGGTTTAGGGTTTTAGGATTTCAGGAGAGGGGGTTTCTGGCAAGGTCGCCAAGCTGCTAGCTTGAAGGCTTGCCACCGTAGCTGCTATGTCATGTTGAGGTCTGAATAATCCTTAGTGTTATCCCCTTACGGTTCCTCTGTGTGATGGACCCTACACCCTAAACCTATGCTCTAGTATGCCCAAAACCCTGTTTCTTCACGAGTCGGTCTTGTCATTTCGGTCCACTGAGCCCCTGTATTATATAGCCCACAAGCCCTGAACAGCGTCTGGGACTGAGGCAACATGTTCTGGCAAACCACCCTGGGCATGAAGTACTACAACAAGAGCATCTTCTGCTGGCGGTTTAGGGTTTAATTAGGTTCTATAGGGTAATCGTGGGTTCGGAGCTTAGGCTTTCGAATTCGACTTGACCGCTCCGAGTCTAGAGGGCGTTTAGGGTTTAAGAGGGTTTAGGGGTTCCGAGTTTAGCGTTTGCGTGTTTTACGTTTTGGGGTTGTCAGAAAACCCTGAACCCTGAACCCTACAGTCTCTAACGTCTTTGTTTTTGCGAAATCTGAGCCCTCAGTTTAGGGTATAGCGCCACCCAGGCATGCGTGTGGGCACCCTCGTACTGGTCTTCGCCGTGGCGGAGCTAGGAGAGATTGGGCCCAATGAGCCAGACCTGCCGGTCCCCGGCTTGAGATGTTTCTTAGGGTTTCGAGTTTATCGGGTTTGGGGTTTAGGGTATAGGGTTAAATGTTTAGGGTTTATCGGGTTTGGGGTTGTTTAGCTTTGCGTATGTGATTTTTGAAAGGTTCTATATCGAGCTTCTTACACTGTTTTTACGAGTGGTCCAGGGTTGAGGGGTTCAGGGTCCAGCAAGTTCGGCTGTGTGGCGTGTGGTCAGGGTGTTTGGGGGTTTCTGGATTCAGAGTGTTTAGGGCTGGGGGTGCTCTAGGCTCGTCATTTAACTTCTTAGGCTTCATCAATTTTCCATCTCGGGTACTTTAAAGCGTTTGGGCCCTGAGCCCTAAACCCAGAACCCAGGTGCTCGAGCTGATGTCCGACCCTGTGGCTATTGCTTGGATGGCCTTCATGGGTATCAGCACGTTGGTGGCCATCTATGCAACTTACAAAACTTACGGCCGTCCAATAGACTCGACTTCCAAACTCTGCAGCTTCGTTTCTGTTGTGACCCTGACAACCGTCATCGGAGCCTCCGTTGGGAAATGCTTCTTGAAAGTGAAGGGTGCTGCCTTTGCTTTAGTGGTCTGCCTCTACTTCTTGGACGGCATCTTCTGTATGGCCTTCACGGTGCTGGCCAACGCACAGTGCGATGTGGCTATCTTTATTCCTGCGCAGCTCTCTTCTCAACTTGTGCTGAACATGCTGACAGGCTACCTAGTTTGGGGGGATGGCGCGTACGTGGAGCACACCACGTCGTACCTTCTCGTTTCTTATCGGACCTTAAAAACACTTCTTAGTTTGGGCAAAGTATAACCTTAAGGAGCAGAAGCTGCATTTTTCAATAATATTTACTGCACCAGTAACAGTATGTCGTAGAAAGACAGCACAGGTGTCAGTGATGATGCTAACCCGAGTCATATTCATATCCACCTCCAAAGAGAACCCTGCACCCTAAACCTTGATTCAGCCCAAAACCCTAAACCCTAAACCTTGATTCAGCCCTAAACCCTAAACCCTAAACCTTGATTCAGCCCTAAACCCTAAACCCTAAACCTTGATTCAGCCCTAAACCCTAAACCCTAAACCTTGATTCAGCCCTAAACCCTAAACCCTAAACCTTGATTCAGCCCTAAACCCTAAACCCTAAACCTAGATTCAGCCCTAAACCCTAAACCCTAAACCTTGATTCAGCCCTAAACCCTAAACCCTAAACCTTGATTCAGCCCTAAACCCTAAACCCTAAACCTTGATTCAGCCCTAAAGCCTGAACCCGACCTTAACCCTAAACTCTGGACAGCGCAGGTTTATGCTCTTTGCATTTGCGGTGTCTACCTCAACAGCGACATGGATATCGTTGGAGACTGGACCAGATCCTACAGTATCCGAAGCTCCATGTTGTCGGAGGCTTAGTGGTCTATGAATCCTAAGCCCTGAAGCCTAGTTAAACCCCAAACCAAACGGGTCTTTAAAGGTTCCATCAGGGAAAATGTAAGGCGAACCATAAGACCTTAATGTAGATTCAAGGAAAGTACAAAGCCCAGACCCAACCTAACATCCTGCAGTCTAAATCCTGTGCCAGATAGTTGTTTTTTATGCGGCTACTCTTGGTTGTATCCCTACAAGAATCTTATCCGCGGACTTCTTGTAGTATGTATATAAATATAATATATGTGTATATATATATATATATATATACACACGCACCTACATACCTACCTACCTACATACATACATACCTACGTACATACGTGCATACGTATATATGCATATATCTACATACGCACACGAAGCTGGAAACAACTGTGAACCTTGAACTCCCTTACAGAACTTTTCAAAACCATGAACGGACTCCATGAACAAATCCGGGCTACTTTTGTTCATGCTCAAAAGTTCACCAATCGCTAAGGTCGGAGGGTCGCGCTTACAGCCGCTTCGGCCATGCAGTGCTTGGCTTGCTCCTTTGCTAGCAGTATCTGCGTATTCCGGGTTTCTATAGTGCTTTAGGGTTTCCGGGTCAGGGCCGATGTCGTGTGCTGCGCGTTCTCTCCCACCCCCCCCCCCGCCCACCCCACCAAATACCAGGGTCTGGAGCCTTAAGCTTAAGAAGGCGTGCGCCGAACATGAAGGGAGAAGCGCGGAATGGCAGAAAAGGGGGCGGGGATCGCACGCACGGAGAGGACCCGTCGTGTTGCACAAGGCCGAGGGGGCACATCCCGTCTGTCGGGTGCGGCGGTGGCATAGTTGACCACTTCAACTACATTGTTAATTATGCATGTATATGTACAAGAGAACTCCACGTACCGCCCAAAGGGGGCCCGTCCGGGGGGAGTGGCAACCACGCGTATGGTCTTTAGGGTATAGAGGGTTGGGTGTCTAGGATTTTCGGGGTTAGGCTTGCTTATCCGAGCTGAGGGTTCTAAGGGGTTAAGGGGGCTTTGAGTTTAGGCTTTCGGGTCAGCCATCCCAGTTATTCCTATTCTCTGTTGCGACAGGCTTGCATGGTGTACGGACATTCGTGCATTTCTCTCTCCACAAGTATTTATCAAATTGCTTTTGCCTGTGGGCGGCAGGCGGGCATCAGTGTGTTTCGACTAGGCCACTTTGGTAGGCAATCCCTGAACAACCTAAACACTCGGATCCTTCATATATGGAGCCCACAATAAGCGAAGCCCCAAGCCTTAAATGGTTGTCAAGCCGTTGCGAGATCGGAGGCTGGGCGCTTGGCAGCGTGGCCCCACTACCGACAACAACCAGGTTGAGGGTTTCGGGTTGAGGGTTTAGGTTCACGGGTTTGGGGAGGAAACGTTTGTAATGTGTAGGGATTTTGGAAGCGGCCTGGAACCGTTTTCGAGGTTTGCCCGGGTTCAGGAACTCTACGATACTATCCGGCCTCCCAAAAACGGAGTTTCGCGGTAGGGTTTGGTTTGGGCCTGAGGGAGGGAAGCCCTGCCGACAGCACCCCAAACCCTTCACAGCCCGAAACCCTACCACGAAGCCCAACTCCGCAAGAAACCTGGGCTCCGAGTCCCCTGCTCCAAAAAAGATCCATCTTCGAAAGCCACTCGGATGCCTCTTTACGCCAATCCAAGAGCATTCCTCGGTTATGAGCCGGTAGACTTTCTTTCATCTGTCGCCTTCCTGGCCGTAGAGCCCCTCAACGCCGTGATTCCTATGATATCGCGGACCCGCAAACAAGTCAACTCTAATCTTTGCCGGCGGCCCCCTTATAGTAAGAAGCTCAAAACTGGAAAAAACAAGCTCCTAACTCTCATAACTCAAAGAGCACCCAAAGCCCCAACCCTAAATCCTGAACCCCAAAGACCACTTACAACACGCACCATAACTACACGGAGCAGGCAGAGTTGAGCAGCGTCTTGAATATCGGTTTGGAGACCGGCGCCCTGAAGCTGGGTCGTTGTTGGAAAAGTCTGTTGGAGCTTGAGATTTGAGGGTTTACCTGGATAAAGCCGCAACACTCTGCATTCCCGTCCGATAAGGCCTACGTAAGAGGTTTTCTATTGTACACTTAAATGCCTACCAACAAAACAAACCTTCAGTCACGCTTAAAAACCTTACAGCCCAAACACAACCCCTGCATCAACCAAATTCACACCGTAAGACAAGCCCTGCAAGCACCCACGAAAATCTCGGCGTCAACCCTACAGCCCCGAAGCCCTACAGCATTCATATCCGTGCGTCGAGGTTCAGACCTCATTAAGCCGGAAACCATCCAGCGGTCAGCCGTCAGACCCGAAGGCCCTAAAGCACAAAAATGTGAAAGACCTGAACCCCAAACCCAATCACCCTAAAGCCCTGAGCCCTAAAACGTTCTGAAACCCTGAAGCTTCGAGTCTAAAACCCTTGAACGCTAAACCACAAAGCCCTAAGCAAAGGAAACCCCACGAGTTGGTCAGCCTGTCCTTGCTGTGTCTCCGGCAGAAAGGCTCGAAGCCAAATCCTGCGACTGGGCTGTTCGCAGTTTAGGGTTTCAAAGGATTCATTTAGAGGCTCCGAGTTCAGAGTTTAGGGGTTTGGGGTTTGGTTTCAGCCTAAAGAGTTACTTTAAGAGCATATTTGGGGCCCTGAAGACCTGGGATGGGGATTGTAGGGCTCAGAATGGCGTACTATCATAAGCTTTGTTTGTTTGACTTTTGTTTGAAATCAGGGCTTGAATAATGTTACTAGGGAGTTGGCGTATATTCGAGTATAGCTTTGTTAGGGACTACAATAAGTTAGGATTCAGGGCTCGACTCGTGATGAAAATAAAATCCTCACCCCGAGTATTGGTACATGTTTTGAAAGGCCTAAACCCTAAACATCTCGGGCTGGCAGACATTGAAAAGGAGCTCAAAAACAAACCTTAACATTACCTCCCTAAAGATCTAAACCCTAAACCCCAAGCCGCTAAACCCCCAACCCTAAGCACAAGGTGCAAGTTTTAAAGGGCATCAATGCACCGCCCAGGAGATGGTGCACTGGGTGGAGCAGCGCGGCGTTTCCAGGGTTTGGGGCTTCAGGGTTTTGGGGGTTTTGAGTTTGGGGTAGAGGGGTTTGTGGTTTTGGGTTTAGGGTCCAGGGTCTGGGGTATAAGGGGTTTGGGGGGCTTGGTGTTTTATAGTTTGGGCTTGGAGGCTTTACATAGGGCTTCAGGCTTTTAGGGCTAGTCTGGTTTAGGGCTTGGGGGCTCGGGCACTTATGTCCTTTTGGCTGCGGGGCTTTGCGCTACTATGGTTTCATATGTTAGGCCGAGGTGTGGGACATAAGCAGAACTGATTTTGGGAACTCATGGTGAGGAGTGTGGGGCTTTTACAGACCTTGAGCCCTAAAGCCCCGCATTTCGGTGTTGTTTTTCACCCTCCACCCTAGACCCTCCAAATTAGCCTCAGGACGCTAGAAACTTTCATGCATTTGAAAACCAGCGTCCTGTGTGCCAGCATATAGATAACCAAAGATAAAAAAATCAAAGATTACCTTCAGTCCTAAACCACACACCCTAAACCCTAAACCCCAACCCTAAACACACACCGCACCCAAGTGCCATAACATTAAGATGAGGCACCGTGTGAAGCTTTTCAAGGAGTACTGTCAGTGGGATGCCGCCTTCCTCCAGGCTCCGAGGGTCTTGGGAGTTGTTGGTGTGTAGATGTTGAGTCTTAGGGTTTATGTTTGGGTTTAGGGTTTAGGGTTTAGGGTTTATGGGTTGGCTGGGGCTGGACTGGGGCTGGGGGTGGAGCTGGCTGGGGTTCTGGGGTGGGGCTGACCCTTGAGCTGTTCGGCTGCGCGGGGCTGGAGCTGGCCTGTTTTCGCGGCTTGGAGTTGGGCCGGGATGTTTTCGAACTTACTTAATGAAGATGCAGTTCGAAGCGATATTCATAAAGTTTCTATTTATCCTGTGCTTGAGGGGTTAAGAGTTTCGGGAGGGTTTAGGGTTCCAGAATATGAGTGGCTCTTGACGTATCGGCGATGAAAAAATAGGGGTATGGGATGTGCATGGGGATCTTTAGTTGGAGCACCCCCTCCTCCTGAACCCCAGAAAACATGTTTGACACGTAGGCAGGACCCCGGTACAAGCCTTAAGTCGAAGAAGGATGCTGCATAGATCCCCGGCCATGAGGAGACCCCCCGAGAAGTGTACCAGAAACCACCAGGAGGCCCCACCAGGACGACACTCGACCACCACTGAAAGCCGTCCCCACATCCGCTCGTGTTCAGCGTTCTGCAAGCACTCTCCCTTACCACAAGGCTTCCCCACCTTGCCGGGTGGATTCCGAGTTCTGATTGCAAGCTGACGACCTTGGGAACATTCAAGGATA